TAAGATGCAATCTAAAACAAATATATGAACTCAGGAAGTCCACTCTTGAAGTGCAATCTGCAACAAAAAGAGCAGTACAACCCTACTAAATTTAGGTCTTTATCAGATCACCCTCATTGTGTCCAAGTAAATATTAAAGTGGAGGGAGAAGATACGTTAATCTATATGGATAAGAATAAGGCTCTAGTAAGTACTAAACTAAGTGACCAATCTCGAGTTCTTAGATCTCCTTTTAGGATTAGGAGAAAATCACTTTAAAAGTGGGAATATTTTTCGTGCCTGTGCTGTAGTGTTTTGATTTTGGATGTAATGGTTCTAGATTGGTTACTTATAGCAGTTACTAATGCCTTCTGTATGTATATATGCCTCTGTGTAACTGTGTATGGTTTTCGAATTTCCGTATTTAGCTTTATATGTCTTCCTGAAGCCTTTTCCTTATCATGAACTCCAGGTATTTACTGAGAGGCAGGGAAAGTGGAAAGCCACAACCCAATCAAGAGAGTTCCTGAAGTCTATCAAGAGATACTACAGCAATGCTTACACTGATGGTGAAAAGCAAGATGCCATAAATTTGTACTTGCTTCATCTCTCTTGTAGTTTCTAATCTGTTCTTTCCTTTAGTAACAGATAAGGCTTATTACCTACTACGATCTCCATCAATTCGTATAAAATAAAAATATAGAAATTGTTCCCGATCAATAGCTTATCCATTTTGCATTAAGAAATAGATGCATCTATGGATAGGGGCACTTGTGTTGTTGTAGCAGTTGTATAGTTATGTAATTTTGAATGTATTGAGGAGCTAGTAACTCTATGTCGTATTATTTTACATTTGGAACGATGTTGTATTGGAGTATGTCATATTATGTTGTACTGTATTATATCATATCTCACTATGTTGTAATTTGATTTACAATGTTATGTTGCACATTATCATACGCTATTTTGCTTTCTTAAAAAAAAAATTCTAAAACTTTGATCTTTTTGTGGGTTTTACCAGATTTTTGGGTTACTTCAAACCACAAGACGGGAAACCTGCTCTCTGGGAGCTGGATTCTGATTACTATCTTCATGTATCTGGAATTGATGACCTCCTCGATGTGTGGTAAATCTCTGTGTATACGGAATTGATGTTCTTTGCACATGTCTCTGCACAAACATACACAAGCAGGGATGCATGTTGTACATTTACAATACCTATTTCAATCGGTTTTCCCAAGTCTTCTGTAAGTTAATGGTTCAGTTTAATCATCCATTTTTATGGTAAGATTCTTGATTTTCAACTTTCAGTCCACAAGGAAATGATACGCACTTAGGAGGATTGGGAAACACTCTTGCCCCTATTCCTGCTTGCAGAGAAGACTTTTTGAGGATGAAGTTGACATCTTTTGATAAATTGATTGAAAGGACGTGTAGTTCAATAAGGGATGTTAGACTTTGTAGTGAACCAGATCAAAGACCAGGTGGTGGTCCTGCAAATTCTAGTGTGGCACCTGATGCAGCGTAATTATATTCAACCTAAGCTGTTTTTATCCCTCTGTTTAGCATCCTATTCGTGATTTGATTATTCATCTCTGTCTTTGGTTATCCTGTACACTTGGGACCCAAGGCAAATTCTCTTTATAATTACTGAACATTGGAATTGTATTTTTCAGTGAAATACAGTTGAAAAGCCCAAATTGGCTTTTTGGCCAGAGAAAATATGAAGAAAGTGGCTCTGCACCAAAAGTTACTTCACATGAAATCAGTAATGGAGGATCCCGTAACGAGACAGGGGTTGATGGCTTTTGTGACTTAAATTGGCTTTCTTCTGAAGCCAATGATAGTGAGGAGGATATCTTCCAGAGGTATGCTATATGGAAATGCATTTACGTTGGCATAGGAGAAGAACCTCCCATTTGTCTGGTTTATTATCTTAAGTATCTGTGGAAACATGAAGGTGTTGTGCATCTCCATGTAGACGGCTTATACATTGTTGTTAATACCGTGACCTCTAATGTTAGTTGGGTGCTAAGGATTGATACTAAAAATATATAGGGAAATGGTCATAATAAGGGTGATAAAACAGTAACCCGAAGAAATTTTGATAAGAGTAGTATTATCTGGGTAATTAAGTTGATTTAGAATTCTATGTTACTAGCTTGTTGGCATCATCATCTATATCGACAAAATAAATACATATATACAGACACAGATAAATCTGTTGAATTATAATGTTTCATTTCTTTACTCCATGTTTTCCAGTAACCTGTAGGCGTACTTAAATTGTATAAAAAGCCTCTGGGGTATCCTATGGAGTGTATCTGTTGATCATGTCTTTCTCTGCTGCAATTCCAAGGTACCTTTCAATGACATCAGTAGATGAAGCCAATGGGTGGTACGGTGGGACGCTTCTAGGTGATCAAGATGAAAACAGTGAGATATACAAGCACTATGCTGAGTTATGTCAGGTAGGGTACCTCTAAATTTCCGAACATGGACCAGTCTGGTATCTCCTCTGAAAATTAAAATCTGATGTAAATTTGTGCAAAATAATGAAAGTGCTTGTTTCTTTTCTTTGTGTTCATTCTCTGACCAGAAAAATAGGCTTCTTTCTGATTGTTAACATTCCGTGTTTTTCCATGCTTCTGCTTCTATATATATTTTTAAATATCTCCTGGTATCAGTGTATCCCAAAGTAGAAGAAACATAATTATAAATTTCTTTTTCTGTAGGTTAACATTTTAGTTAACGGATAGGTTTGTATATTGTACATAGGAGTGTGCCTTTTGGGCATAGTTCAATGAAGTTTTCTTCTTAAAAGGAAACAAAAGAAAACCCAATAACGAATGTATTAACAGTTAACTATTTAACTCCCTGATTTCTCTATTGTTGTTTGGTTGAAGCATTGAGATGCACCAAAGAATTTCAATGTGATGCGATTTGTAAGGACTTGAGTTTGTTGGCTAACCTGTTAAGCAGGGTTACATGTGGAGTTTAGGTATATTTGGTTTGGGGTTCCGCGTGGGGCTTTGGGGTTGTTGCTCAAGGTTCAAGGTCTGAGGTAGGGATTAGGATTCAAGTCAAAAGTTCGGGTTCCAAGTTTTGGCTTGGACTGCGCAGGACTCCAAGTTTGGGCTGGGGGTCCAGAACTGTATGGATATGCGGGTCTGGGTATGATTTGATGCCGGTCTAGGGTTGGGGTTCACAGATCAAGGGGTTGGGGTCTAAGTTTGAGTTTTGATTTGGGGCCCATGTGAGGAGTCTAGGATTTGCGTCTGTGATCTGTTATAATCTCAGGTTTCCAATTAAAATACTGTTGTAATAATTCATTTTACCAAGATACCTCTCTTGCAAATGCAATATATAATTTTTTTAAGCTTGCATGGTTCTCTGGTATTTTGTTGAAGTTTGACGCTCTTGTATATCGAGCTTAGAGAGACCTGAGGACATGTCCTTTTTCGCCTTTCTTCTCACATATGTGGTACGTTTCATATCCTTAATATGCTTTTGTGAAACTTTTCAACGTGCAGGGCCCTGGTATTGAGCCGTTCAAAAATGATCGTGAGATGGAGCAGCACTATGCTAATGCTCTTCATATGGGAACAATTAACATTGTCGACGATGCTGATGTTGAGGTAGAGATGGAAGCAGCCCTCAAGGAATACGACCAAATTGGTAGTGATCTTGGGAGCATCCCTGCATCATGTAAATTGTTAGCTGAAGATCCGAGCTGGTTGACGAGGTGGATAATTGGGGAAGAGAAGGTGCAGAGGATTTGAAGAGAGCTAAATGAAGTGTAAGAGGCAAACATTATTTACTAAATCTTGCCGTATACATATTACTAGCATCAGACAAGGTTGAGCTATACTTTGTGCATATAAATGTAAATACAGTGTGTTCAAATTACAGGCATTTCCGTCTTTAGGATTCACAAGTTACTGCTTGACCTCTTGTATGTTTCGATGAACTTTCTGCTGCTGCTGGTTTTTCATCCATCGTTTTTTTTTTTTTTTTTTTTTCCTTTTTTCTTCGGTCTGAAATACTTTCGGTTTTTGATTCATCTGTACTCGTCATTTTAAGACTGCAGGGATCAAAACTCAATCTTTTCGGCATAATTAATTCCATTCTAACATTCTTTAAATCTCAAAAATTCCAAATTCCTCGATCTGCTCTTCTGGTTTAGATTTTAAGGTCAGCCGCCGAACTCTCCCCTTTGTAATTGGTTTTTGTTGTTGAATTATTCTACATCCAAAGCCTTATGATCAAAACAAATTGCAAGTGAAAATTTTAGAGTGCGTATTACTACATGTTAACAGCTGAATGTACGCTGTAAAATCATAGGGATTTGACGTGAGAACGGAGTGTTGGCGGTCGATTATCTGATGCTCTCTCTCTCCTCCTTTATTTAAGCTTAGGACTGACAGTGTAAGATAAACTCACACAGGTTAATCGAAGTCATTTAAAATGTAATGTTTATTGTACTACAATTTAAGCATTAAAGTGATTGGTTGCACGGAGAGTGAATCAAAGCGGATGAATGATTGATTGTCCTCACGCAAGGTCAAACTAAGCACGTTCTAAATCCTCGGGATGGTAGGAAACTCCACCACCAATAGTTGGGTAGCAATTCACATCTTGACAAAGCAAACGGTTTAAATGAGCTATTTATCTTTCAACGGGGCATACAATACCAACAGGATCCTCTCCGGATTCTTTTGGTGAGGATCCTGAAGATCTATGAATCGTGTCTGTTTATCGTACATCGTGCGGTCAGTTTTTGTCAGGTATTGTTTGTATTTAATTTTAAACAATAATATTTAAAATGATTTCTGACCGTATGATGTACAATTCATGAACACTATTCATAGATTTCCAAAATCCTTACAAAGAGAATCTAGCGATCGAGGATCCGGATTCCAGACAATATCCAGAGTCAGAGTGAGAGGCCAGAAAGCAGTGGACCCCTCCTAACAAATAAAAGTTTGTGGATGCGATGAAATTGTTTGTAGTTCACTCATTCCAACTTATAAGTGTGGAAAGAATAATCTCAAATAATATTGTTGGTGTGATCAGGATTAATTGAGGAAGATGATGACCAAACTCTCCATGTCTTGCTCTTGCAACACTAGTACCACTCTCAGTCTGATTCCCAACATTCCTCCACCTGCACTTCCACCAATTAGTCCTCACCAGATTGCTCCAATCCTACTGAAAACAAGCATACAGCACAGGCCTAGGGCAGTTGCAGTTTTCGCTGCAAAATCTGGAGGATTTCCACTCAACTCGGTATACATCCGCTTTTTTTTACGAAAATTCTATGGTGCTCTAGAATACATAGTATTTTTTAATCGTTTAGATCTTGATTTTGTATTTTAAACTTTGAATTTAAGTACCTTAATTAGTATGTATTTATGCAAGTGTTAGTTGGACTCTAATTCCTTTGACATGTAGTTCTTGAAAAAGTGTGAAAGCTGTGGAGGTAAAGGTGCAATCGAATGCCAGGGATGCAAGGTACGCGCATGCTCTCTTAAATTCACTTGACATGTATTCACCCTCTGCATTGATATTCACCTTTTTTTCATTTTTTTTTAAATTTTATAATTATTTTTTAATCATGCATTTTATTAAGTTATACAGTTGAGGTTTCACCCATCCAGTAGGAGATGGTAAACTATTGCAAGAAAATGCATATTCAAAATTATGAGAGTTTACACTTAAGAAGCAAAATAGTTTTACACCTTAAAGTAGTTCAACAAATATAATACCGAAGATATATATAAGCTTTTTTAGCTAAACGGTTCTTGAGATTAACGTAACTCTTTATTTTAATTCTTGACAATAAAAACCAATAGAAGTAATCTTTGAGTTTGTCTACTATAAATCATTTTGGTCATTCCGAGAAAAAATCTATCAATATCCTCGTTAAATTGTCATGCGAACAACTATGTGCCCATCTTTTTAAAGATATTTTTGTCAAACCAACCCCTCCACTTGACATATTTTTCACAGAATGACTAAAATGATTTACGGTAGACAAACTCAAGGACCATTTCTATTAATTTTCATTGTTAAAAACTAGAGTGAGAATTATACCACTCTCAATGACCATTTTAGCTAAAAAGCTGATATAAATACATCATTTATGGCCTCACTTTTTACATCTTTACATTGAAGATGCTCTAATTGACTAGAATTTGCACGTCTAGCTGATAATTACCTAGGTTTAATCCAAGTTACTTTGGCATTTATTGTTTATTGACAAAACATACAAACAAATAAACAACAACAAAGCCTTATCCCACTAATGGAGGTCAATTGTATGCAGTCTAGAAAGCCACTGTGTTCGATTTTGTGCCAAATCTTCCTTATTGTTTATTGACAAGAAAAAAACATGTATTGTTTGATAGGTATGCAACTATTAATTCAACTCCTTTAACCCTTCCTTAATTTTCAGGGGACGGGAAGGAATAAGAAGAATGGAAATATTTTTGAGCGGTGGAAGTAAGTTATTTCATGATTTAAAATATAAAACTCAGTTTACTTTTCATGAAATCATAGAAGAATGTATTTATATGTAATACCTTAAACAAATCAGTTTCTGATGCTTGTGTATTTAATTATTAGGTGTTTCGATTGCCAAGGATTCGGAATGAAGGGTTGCCCCAGCTGTGGACAAGGAGGACTAACCCCAGAACAAAGAGGAGAAAGATAAAGAGTTGGATGAAAAAAAACAATACGAGTTCACTGAACTAATTTGGCCCAATTTCATTATATATTGACTTACGTGCCCATGTGATATGTAGGATTAAATTAGAATGAAAATCACTCTGATTTTATATGCGTGTCAAGGACGACTAAATATAGGTGTAGTTCATAAACAATTTGAATTTTTCTGAGAACACGAGAGATTTTTGAGTACGTTTGAAAGAAGGATACATACAATAGAATTTTATGGCTTCATTTCCATGTATTCCATAATTCTCAATATAAGTACATACAATCATTGTTACATAAGGAAACAATAAGGCACACAAATATATCCTTCCTAAAACATGACTCTAATATTTACACAATACTTACATTCCTTTTCCTTAAATATTGACTCACGCAAGTCCCCTCAAGTTGGTGCATAGATATCACACATGCCCAACTTGATAAGTGAGTCATCGAAGCTTCTACTACACACAGCATGAGTAAGAGTATCTGCAAGCTATTCTTCCGAGCTTACGTACGGTATTGACACCACCTTCTTCTCAAGTTTCTCTTTAATAAAATGTCGATCAACCTTAACATTCTTAGTCATATCATGCTGTAGTGGATTCTCTACTATTTCTCTTGCCGACTTATTGTCATAATGCAAATTCCTCGCCTCTTTTTGCTTAAAGCCGAGACCCCAAAGCAACTTTCGTAGCCAAAGGATCTCACACACTCCATGGGCCATGCCTTTGAATTCGGCTTCCGCGGAAGACCATGACACCACCTTTTGTTTCTTACTTCACCAAGTAACCAAATTACCTCCAACAAATGTAAAATACCCGGACATAGAATGCCTATCAGTCACATCTCCTGCCCAATCGGCATCAGTAAATCCCTCAATCCTTATATGGCCATGATGTTCATACAAAATTCCCTTCCTTGGAGCAGACTTCAAATACGTCAAAATTCGCATAACTGCAGTCATGTGATCCACACTTGGTGAGTGCATAAATTGACTCACCACACTCACTGCATAGGCAATATCTGGACAAGTGTGGGACAAATAAATTTGTCTCCCTACCAGTTTCTGATATCTGCCCTTGTCAACTGGTTTTTGATCTGGATAAATCCCTAAATAATGCTTCTCAACAATAGTAGTGTCCACGGGTTTACATCCAAGCATACCTGTCTCCTTCAATAAATCCAGAACATATTTACGTTGAGACAAGAAAATACCTTTAGACGAACGAGCCACTTATACTCCAAGGAAATATTTTGAATCTCCCAAATTTTTCATCTTAAATTCAGCGGCAAGACTCTCGTCCAATTTCACCTTCTCTTTATAATCATCACCTGTGATTATCATGTCATCCTCATAGATAATTAAAGTTGTCACTTTGCCATTTCTCCGTTTTACAAACAACGTGTGGTTGGAATGACTATGGTAATATCCATTCTTCTCATGACTTGAGTAAATCTATCAAACCATGCATGAGGCAATTGCTTAAACCCATAAAGCCACTTTTGTAACCTACACACTCTGGTTTTCCCTTCGGCATTATATCCCGAAGGAAAATCCATATATAGTTCTTCTTCCAAATGCCCATGAAGGAAAGCATTTTTATATCAAACTGTTTCAGTGGCCAATTCAAATTTGCAGCTAATGAAATAAGAACATGTACCATATTCATCTTGGCTATTGGGGAAAAAGTTTCCTGGTAATCAACACCATACGTAACACCCGTTTAAGTGTCACCTTTTGCTACTAACCTTACTTTATACTTGTCTATTGATCCGTTGGCCTTATATTTAATTGTAAAGACCTATCTACACCCAACCGGGCTTTTTCCTTTCGGTAGTTCCATTACTTCCCATGTATCATTCTTGTGTAGTGCCATCATCTCTTCATCCATTGCAGCAACCCATTTAGGATCTTTCAAGGCCTTCCTAACTCGGATTGGTACTTGGATTGCTTCCACATTATTCACCCATGCTTGGTGTTCAAGCGCAAGGTTCCTGCATGACACATAATTTGCTATTGGATACTTTACTTTTCCTTCGGGAGAAAACCTGTCAGGAGGAACACCACGATTTTGCCTTGGTGGCAACTTATATGTACTTACACCATTATTTGGATTAGTTACATGAGCATCTATAGTACTTACCTCAAGGATATTCAGAGAAGACACATTGGATGGCACTATCGAGCTAGAGAGAGAGAGAGGGTGATGTGGGTTCGACAGGTAGCATTTCTTCCCTTGATGTACTTGGTTTGGCAGCATCTAGCTGCCAGACTGTTGTAGCTTCCTTGGCAGGACCTTGTCGATGGTCTACACCTATCTCGGCAACATCTGAAGGCCCGTATCACTCTTGGCAGTTTCTTGCCAAGAGATTGGTGTCCCATTTTCATCATTGTCGTCAACACATGCTCCCCCTGAACTACATATCACATCATTTGGTACTTCTAATCACCTAAGATCACCCTGATCACAACTAGTGTTCTCCCCTTGGTGATCTGAAGGTGAGGGGATTAAAGAATAAAAATACTATGATTTAGAAAAAGTAACATCCATAGTCACATACATATGTCGAGTTTCAAGGTGATAGCACTTATACCCTTTTTGTTGGGGGGCAAACCCAACAAAAACACACCGAAGGGCACTTGGATCCAACTTGCTACGATGAATCTTATGAATATGAACATATGCTATACATCCAAACACATGAGGAGTAAGAGTATTGGTGGGAGTAAGAGCATTGGTGGATACTATAGGAACATGTTCCGTCAATACTTGAAGAGGTGTAGGGAATTCTACAACCCGAGATGGCATACGGTTAATCACATACACATCATAGGTAACAGTTTCAGGCCAAAACCATTTAGGCACGGACGCACCAATAAGCAAGGCATGAGCAGTTTCCAAGAAATAACGATTCAACAACCCCACTTTGTTGCGGAGTATAGGGACAAGTAATTTCATGGAGAATTCCTTGATCCCGAAGAAAACTAGACAATTTGGAACTCATATGTTCACCTCCATTATTAGAGTGGATAACTTTAATAACGGAGGAATACTGTATTGTAACCATATGAGAGAAAGATCGAAGCACCATACTGACATCACTTGTATTTTTCATCACATATATCCAAGTCATACGGGTGCAATCATCAACAAAGGTAACAAACCATTTGATTCCGGAAAGAGTACTAATAAGAGAGGCACCCCAAACATCAGAGTGCACAAGATCAAATGGAAACAATCTTTTATTCATACTAGGAGGAAACGAAGTGCGATGACTCTTCGCGAGAATACATACTTCACAATGTAAGTCTGATTCTTTTATTTCATGAAATAAACTAGGCAACATGCGCCGTAAATAACCAAATGAGGCATGTCCTAACCAACAATGCAATAACCAAACTTCTTGTAAATTATTGGTACGAGATGATCGAACTATCTTAGTGCCACGCCCAATTATCTCCTTGGTTTGAATATCCTGGAGTAAACAAAAGAGTGGATACATAAGTACAACACAATCTAATTGCTCAGTAATTTGGGGAATAGATAACAAATTATGAGACAACGACGGAACAAGCAAGCAATTACGAAGGGAGAGGGCCGGTGTAAGGTCCACAGTACCGGCCCCAATAACTTGTGCAGTGGTGCCATTCACGGTTGCTATACACTTTCGAGGAGTCGTTGTCACACAAGTAAATTTTTTTTATCAAAGATCATATGATCTGTTGCACCAGAGTCCAAAATCCAACCTGTATTTGTCATTGTTATAACACATGAAAGTTGAAACAATAATACACTACAAGCACACCAATACCCAAGACTACAGCACACACGGAGACCTTGTAGCAGAGTTACTCCTACAATTGCTCAAGCACAGTAATTGAAGATATACAGCAGTTGCACCAATACACGAAAAATTGCAGTACCAAACAGATCTGCAATCCTCTTGCACAATAATTAACCACTCCTTACACAGTACCTCACGCTGCAATCCAAGGCAGCAGCGGAAAAAAAAAAAAAAAAAAAAAACCCCACACTTACGGTGACAATTGCAAAACCACAACAATTGTATGCTGCAAATAAAACACAAGCAGAGACACTTACAAGACAGAAGAAAAAATGGATTCACGTTGCAATTCTAGCAGTCAATCCCTTTTTCCTTTTATCAAATCTTTTTATTTCCCTCGTTTTTGGAAAACAGCCCTCTTACACAGGCAAATGGTCACAGCAAGCAGCAAAGCACGAAACACGATACTACTCATGGAAAACAAGACACGGTACAATTACAATACTCACGGCAAGGATTGTAGCAACACGTTTACAGTGTTGGACTTGATTACAGTCGCAGCAGCACACAGTTTTTGATTAGGGTTTTGGATCGAAAACTAGCTCTTGATGTCAAATAGAATTTTACGCCTTAATTTCCATGTATTCCATAATTCTCAATATAAGTACATACAATCCTTGTTACATAATGAAACAACAAAGGACACAAATATATCATTCCTAAAACATGACTCTAATATTTACATTCCTTTTTCTTAAATATTGACTCACTCCAATACATCATGTATCATTATACAAATAGAACACTTGAAATTTTTTTTTTGTCTACTTGTATAATAACACATGATCTACCGTCCTGTATTCTAGGCATATTGAAATTTTTGTTTAAGAACACACCACCAAAAAAGAACTACAACTAAAACAAGCATTTGAATCACGTAATACAAATGCCTCGCATGCGTTAGTGGTAATCTTTCAAGAAATTGAAATCCATGAAGGGATAACTCATCGTACTCATCGATAAAGCACGAGAGTGACACTACTAGAAACATGAAAAGAAAGAGAATGAAGAAGATTGGACACATTATTTGGCTCTTCTCTTCTACTTGGTTCGTCTCAAATTGGTTGCCATAATGACAACCTCTTTTCTAATTTTTCTTTATTTTGGTTTGCGACTGCAGAATCTGTTTTGAAAGTCCCATATATTTCGAAGTTTCTGGCTTTGACCTTCATCTTAATTATATATTTTGATCTCCAAAACCAGATCAGTGGAGGGATGGGGGCTATAGAACGGGGGAGGTGAAATGAGTAATATTGTTGCGTTTCATAGATTTTTTTTAGAAGGAAAAAAAAAAACTAAAATTCACCTAGACACAACTAGGCTGCCACATAAGACGGTATGCTAAATGTGGAATATTTAGATGGTAAGTATAGGCCTTGCCCAATATATGTTTTTTGAAGTCTTTCCTAAAATAATATATTTACTAAAAAACATGTCATATAATCCCGAATCCCGTAAATGTATACAAGTAGTGAGTAGTACTTACCTTTCATATGAAGAAGATCAATCCACGTTTGATTATTATTATGGTTGTGTTTATCTTTATAGCAGGTCAGATTTGGCAAGTGACAGATAAATTACAATGATGCTTGAAACTTTAATTCCTTGATTAACTAACTTTCAAATTTATGAAAACTAGTCTCTTACCACACGTGTACAAACCATCCACATTCTCATTAGTAAGCGGTTTTATTATTTTTTATGAATTTATTTTTTCTTTTGAAATTCTAATAGAAGAAGGGCAATTTTGAGATCATGAAAACTCTACTCTTTTTATCTTGTTCCTATGTAAATATAGATTAAACACCCAAATTGTTCGGATATCTCCAGCAAGGCAATGGGAATTGTCCAGATATCTCCAGCAAAGCAATGCGCCGAGTCGTACTCGGTTTTCACACTAATCCCTAAGACCCCGCCTCTAAAATTAGCATGTTGACCAACCATCATATACGTACGTTCGTTCTGCAACGAGACATTGAAGAAGCAAACAAAACCAAAAAGAGAAAACATTTGCTACGTGAAATAAAAAGCAGAAGATATGTTAACTACCAAATTCAATTAACTGTTAGGCAAACACACAATATTACAATCTCTGTCTCTCTCTCTCTCTCTCTCTCGATCGGTGACGGTGCCTCTCTTTGGAATAATGATCATGAGCTGTGTTGCTCCTACAGTCGTCGTCTTCTCCTCCACCACCTGCTCCTTGTGTGTTTGTGATTCCAGAAAGAACAAGCCCTACACCTCAATCATCCCTTCTTCTCCTCCTGTAAGTCCATTTGCTTTAATTTATATCTTAATTAATATATTATATATGAAATCGAGCGCATAACCTAACCTAATCTGGTAGCGATTTCATTCTATTCGGCATATGGGTTGTTCTAGCTTGAGGTTTCATCTTCATGTTCACAACATTTCATTTTAGGTACTTAATTAGACGAATATGTATAACACACACACACACACACACACACACACACATGATATCATTCACCAATTGGTATTAGTTCCTTTTCTATACTTACTCAAATATTAATCCTTGTTCATCTTTGACCAGTTGAGGAAATAATCTTCACCTTCTCAAAGATTAATTGAAGCAATAAAAATAAAATCAGATTTTTCGCATGAATTATATGATATTAATTAATTTTACACAAAGATTAACTGAAGCAATCAAATCTAAAAACAGGGTTTTGACCATCGGATTGTCGGGGTTTGAGTTTCTACGTTCCAATGTTTGCATGCTGATCTGTTCACTTCACTTTTCGACTCTCGAGTTTTTCGGACGCGTAGTCTTTTGCTTTTGTTCTTTACCCAGCTGGTTATTACTTTTGTTTTTGTCAAAATTACTAAATTAGTTTAGTTTAACCAAAAATAGTAACATACAAGTCATTTACTTTACACCGTTGATCGTGATGACCGTTACGTGGTCGAATCAAATCAAAGATGCACTAGAATATTGACAGTGACAGGGATAACAAAAATCATTGGATCCATGCATGCATGACATGAAAACAACGCGTGGTGCAGTCTAGCAAACAACGCTGTAGGATGTGTCTACTCCACACAACAATCTGATGTGTTATATAACTATGTTGGTCCCATATAGATATACTTACATGAATTTGAATTCCTGTTTTAAGTTTACAGTTTTAATTCCAGTTTTATGTTTATAGTTTCTTTGAATCTGAATATCTAATCTAGATTAACATTATCATATACAACATTATTCTACATTAATTTCTTAATAATAATATCTTTTTTTAATATATATATATATATATATATATATATATAAAATAATGTAATAATGTCAATTGACACTCTAAAAATTAAGAGCTTATTTAGAAGTACTTTTAAAATAACTAAAACACTTCCAAACGAACCCTAATTGGGCAACATTATTTCTTGTTCATTTGGTAGAAATCATAGTCATCTTGCGTACTCCACTATTCCCCAACCTTTAACTATAATAACTAAGTTGAAGTATTGGATGCCTTTTCTCTATAGCGCAAATGAAGTACAAAAAGGAAGTCGATTTATGTTACAATTAAACATATATTAACTTTGTTTTAATGATTTTTTGTTTTTAAATTTCCAGGTGATTCGGCTGATTCCTGAATAGAGCCAGTTACCCTTGAAGTCAGAGATTTTTACGTAGCTGGCCCTTGTAATTTCCAAACCAGGCCAGACTTCCAACATAAAACAGTCCATACCTATCTTGAAAATACACTTGTATGTATTCTCACAGTATTACAATATGTAGATCCCCAATACAAGGCGGATCACTAATAGTCCCATGTATTCTAATCCATGCCAATCCCAATCCGAAATCCAATATTCCTATCCTCCTCTTGAATTGAGCCTCAAGCCCCCCACTACTTTTGAACCCCAACAAAACCCTTCTCTTAGTAGAAGCTGCTCCTCCACCTCCATTGATACCATGGTCTCCGACTTATTTTCCCCGGCCTCCTCCTCCTCCACCTCACTATTAATGTATGGGGACTACATTGGCATGGAGTCCTGTGTCGACGTTCTAAGCGACGATGAGTTGAGTTTTGGTCACCGTCATCATGATTGTTATACTCAGAGAAAAGAAATGTTATGTTGGGCGCAGGAGGAGAAGAAGAGAACTTATGAGGAACTTCCACCTCCAATTTCGTTGCTGGCGCGTACGGAGAATCTGACTTCTCACATGCCTTGGGTTTTGAAGAGGCACTACACCACCGATGGACGGTTGATTTTGACGGAGGAGAAGGTTAGGCACCATGAGTACTTCAGGGCCCACAGATCCAATGGCCGTCTTAGATTGCAGCTTGTCCCTCTTGATGGCCAGGCTTTGGTTCCGCCAATCGTTTGTTGCAATGATGAGCATGAGGATGAGGAGGTGGATGATCATGATGGGTACTGTAGTGAGTCCGAGGATCATGTATTCTACGATGACGATCTGGCTGCTTATGATGGTGACAATGAAGCTTATGATTACGATTACGATTACGATTATGACGATGACTGCGATAGTGATGGTACCAGTGTTGATGGTTGTCATCATCATGGTGATGCTGAACAAATATTTGATGCTGTTAGTTCAACTACTGGATTAGCTGGGAAGTGTCTCAATATCAATGCTGTGAGAACACGGTCGTGCAACTTGGGAGTGCGAGCGCCAGCGATCAGGCATGCACACAGTTAACACTCACAAACATTGTCACTTTCATCTGTGTAGCTCATGAGCTCCCAACACCTAATGGCATTTTTGGCCAAAAGTCACAAATATTACCACTTTCATTTGTGTTTGCTAGCTACTCAATGTTTTGTTTTAATTATGCTCTTATTGACACTTCAAAAATGTCATTTTGCACTTGCACTAATGAAAAAAGACGAGACGGAGGAGAGTATTGCATCTTGACTATTTTGGAGTTGCTAATTACAATTCCTAGTCGTTTTATTTAGTTGTCTTTCTTGAATTTCCGTGGGTTATCATGCCATGCTAGCAAATTGAAGCTACCTAGCTAGGTTACTTTGCAACCGTTTGGACGGTGAATTCTTTTCAACGATTGTCTAATTTGATTAATAGTGATCATTTTGTATGGATATAACGATACTAATTTTCTTTCGTGTTTCTTATTGACACTGTTGGATAGATTTATACTGGCATGAATTTGTGGTTTAGATTCTGATGACTTGAATCGTGATCATGTGTTTCATTACTAACAAATAATGCATTTCAAGATGAATTGAAATGTCTCAAGTTTTCATCCTTGAATGGCATCTAATAAGTTTTTGAATATGTAGATGTGTCAAGGCCAATGCAAATGGATCAAGAAAAGTCTTTCTGGGGCAAGCAGCTGGATCTGATGGTCTATTTCGAGGCCATGCTGGTCGAGTTATGATCAGCGCTTTTTGTGAGCCTGTCGGAATCTCCTTTACACATAGGGCAAAGCTTGTAGCCTGCATCTTTGCTATAATCACAGCTTGGGAGAAGGGTTGGTCACGTTATGGTTGGAAACAGATCCTAAGTTGGTCGTATTTCTTTTCTCTAAACCCCTTTCTGCTCGTTGGTCTCTGCGTTCTCAGTGGAGACATTGTCGTGACCTAATAAGCCTCATCAGCTCCAGAGTTTCTCATACAGACAAGAAGGGCAATGCATGTTATGTCTGATGATGAGCTTGCCAACGATGTCCTTCATTCGGGGCTATCATGTTTTAGTGGGATAATGCTGCTTTTTATAATTCCCGACTTAATTAATAGCCAGGGGATGCAAGCTTAACCATTGTATCGTACGTCTCTTTTTCATTTTTGTTATTTTTTTTCTTTTTGCCCATTCGTTTGTTATCCATAAACATTCTTTTTGCCTATATATGCTTTAATAAAGGAGGTTTAAATATACACAGACTTTTTAGGTAAACGGTCTCTGAAATTAGCATAAATCTTTACTTTGGTCCCTGATAAGGAAAATCGATAAAAGTAATCCCTAAATTTGTTCACCATAATTCCGTGAAAAATCTGTTAATATCCTAGTTAAGTGGAGGAGTTGGTTTGATAAAAATACCCTTAAAAAATGGTCAAGTGACACATAACAATTTAATGAGGATATTGATAGATTTTTCATGGAATGACCAAAATGATGTATAGTGGACAAACTCAGGAACCACTTATATCGATTTTGATTATCAAGGACCAAAATGAGGATGTATATCAATCTCAGGGACCATTTTGTTTAAAAACCCATAAACAATTTCAGATAAAAATTAACATTTTTTTTAATCATATAGGTATATACTAGCAACCATTACCCGCGCGATGTTGCAGGATTGAAAAAGTACAATTACTTAATGTGCATGTACATACTATTTACATGCAAAAGTGTTGGTAAACAGTCCTATTGAAAACCTCATGAAATTTGCTATTTTGTTCAACCAGAATAAAAAAAAAGTTTCTGAACAAATTATCATTTCCAAACCGCTCATGAGAAATTACCTTCTCATGACCCATGTAGAATTTGTATTCAACCCGCCAAAATAAAATCAGATACATTAATTTTTTTTTTTTTTGAGTACATCAATATTTTTACACTAAGGCAAGAGGGAGTTTAGCTAAGTCACACAATGAGCAGCCTAATTTGGTATCGAATTTGCCATCCACAAGATTCGAACCTAATACCTCTCACTCTCAAGTGAAGAGGAATACCACCAGAATACATCATTAAAATTTTAAAAAGAGAGAAGAGAACCATCTCAACAGCTCCCTAGCCTTTTTACTTCTTCTTCCCTTAGTTAATTGATTCAGAATCCCCAATGAATTGATACTCACAACCCAGCAGCAGAACAACCTATTCAGAAAATTTCACAAAACCACAATTCATGCATCATGCTATAATAATACGAAAACAATAACCATGAACAGATTCAAATTCCTAAATATAACAACAACAACAACTAATCCAACACACAAAACAAAAAAAACTCAAGAAATGCACATATCCATGCAATGCGGCAATCAGACTCCCATGCTAAATTGCCGGAAAAGAAAAACAACTTATACCATACACAGGGAGTACTAATTGCCGGAAAACATATGTTGGATGTTAGAGACTCTAATCCAACGGCTAATATGTCAATATAGTTAATAAGGATTAATGTGGAATGTAAGTATGATTAGGGTTTAGTTGTAAGCTATAACTTGGACTCCAAGTAAAGGAATATAACCCGGTTATAATTGGAGAATAAGGGCTCTTGATACTATCCTATTTGGATTGAGATTTGGTAAATTGTATCCTTGTACAATAAGGAATCCTAGCGTATGGATATGGGAATGTATGCTAGGGTTGTAGTAATATAAATACCAAGGGAAGGTCCCTACATACACCACCGATACACATACTTGGAGAACTCCCCATAGGTTCGAGTAATACAGTGGTGGTGAGTGTGCAGAAGACCAACCCTTGAAGTTCAAAGTGTTTGAGATTGCTTGTTGCTACTGCAGTGCTTGATGTGCTAGGAAGATGTCTTCACAAGGTTAGTTTAATGGTGTTTTATTATACATGAACGTATTAGGTTTAATAGTTGGTATTAGAGTCAACGTTTATGTAATTAAAATCCATAAAGAACTGATGTACATGATATCATGCATGCAATATGAATGAACTGATGTTTCTTTAAATTTCGATTCTATTTTCTTTTCCGCTGCTATGATTAATACTTGCATGTATGCAGTCTTGAGATACTTTCCTTGCATATCTATAATAATCTTGACTAAATATAGGACTAAGTAATATGCATAAAAGAACTGCAAACAACAAGCCATGAATGTTGTGTTTACATCCACAGAAACGCTAAACTGTCTACCATGCATGACTGATGTAAAGAACTGTCTTTGGCCTATTAAAACTAAGAGATTGTTTGTTGTAGAAGTCCTGATTGTTAAGCATGTTTGATAATCGAAGGTTTTAAGGTTCATAACATGCTGAAAGTTATATCAAGATCAATGTTTTTGAGATGTAATTGAATGTTTGAAACACAACAAGTTTGTTCCAAGCATTCAAGAACTGCTAAAAATTGAAGGTTTAAATTGATCATCTTGTATCAGTAGCCATAACAATGAGGTTATATCCCCAAATAAAGGTATGACTAATCGACATTCGTTAGGTTACTGATAGCTCAGTGATGGCATATAAGATGCATGAGCTGTGAAAGTTAATTGCCAAACAAAGGTGGATGGCTTTCATGTCATATAATTACTTATGCAAAGGTATGGTGCCTCAAATTTTAGTTTGTTTTGAATCGAATTTGGTTGAGATATCTTGTGATACTTGGTGGCTTGATACTGGTGCTACAATTCATGTAACAAACTGTATGCAGGGGTACATTAGTAAAAGGGTGCCAAACAAAGATGAGGTGTCAGTGTTCGTGGGCACTGGAGCTAGAGTTGCAGTGGAGTTCGTTGGAGTAGTTAGGCTTAAGTTATTTTCTGACTTTTTGCTAGATTTGGTTGATGTTGCCTATATACCTTCCATGAGAAGGAACTTAGTCTCAGTTAGTAGGCTTGTTAAATCAAAGTTCAAGTTTGATATTAATGAGATCGGTTTTTCAATATTTCGAAGTTCCAACTTAATTGGTGATGGAGTATTGGTTGGTGACATGTTCAAGCTTAACTGCAATATGCCAATAAGTGTAACACAATAATAAGGCACAAACGAACATTGACAAATGACACCTCATCCAAGTTATGGCACATTTCAAAAGAAAGAATGCAAAGATTAACTAGGGAACAAATTATGCCATCATTGAACTATGGTGATTTTGAAATTTGTACTAACTGCATTAAGGAAAAATTGATAAACAAGAAGAAGAAAGGTTCAACTAGAAGTACAAAGTTGCTAGAACTGATCCACACATACATCTGTGAACCTTTTCCAACACAAACACATGATGGCTTTAAGTATTTCATTACATTTAAAAATGACTTTTCTAGGCTTAGGTATGTGTACTTGTTGGCTGAGAAGTCTAGTGCCTTTGCTGCTTTCAAACTTTATAAGGTAGAAATGGAGAATCAATTAAATTGCAAAATCAAGGTAGTAAGGTCTAATAGGGGTGGAAAGTATTATGGAAAGTTCAGTGTATCTGGAAGACAACCTGTTTTTTTTTTTACATTGTTTTTGCAAGAGCATGTAATTGTTGCTCAATACACCAATCCAGGCACCTCTAAGCAAATGGAGTTAGTGAAAGAAGAAATAGAACCTTGATCGAGATGGTGAGAAGCATGATGAGTAATTCAAAACTGCTTACCTTTCTTTAGGGTAAAGCAATCAAAACTGCCAACTACTTGCTAAATAAGGTCTCTAGCAAGTCTATCCCCAAGACACCATTCGAGTTGTGGACTGACAGAAAGCCAGTGCTAAATCATTTGAGAATTTGGGGATGTATTGTCGAAGCAAGAACATACAATCCAATGGATAAGAAGCTGGACCCTAGAACAATCACATGCTTATTTGTAGGATATCCAGAAAGAACCAAGGGTTACAGTTTTTATTGCCCCAATCATACTTCAAGATTCATTGAAATTGGGAAAGCCAAGTTCATTGAAGAAGCTAATGATGATGAGTGGGAGGAGAATCTTGATAGGAATGAAGAGACCATAGCAATGCAAGAAGAAAACTTAGGTGATGCTGTGACAGATGAAGTTGTTGTACCAATTCCAGTGCAAAATGACCGAGTCACAGAACCAACACAAGCTATTCAACAAGATGAATGATTGCAGAAGAACCTGTGCAGTTGAACAACACACCAACTATTCAAGAAGAGAACATTGAGCTTGTGTGCATGGAAACCAGAAGATCTATCCGTACAAGAAAGCCTGCAATCTCAGATGATTTCCTTGTGTATTTGCAAGAGGTTGAGTTCAATAGCCAAGAAGAAGATCCATTAAGCTTTAAGAAGGCAGTTGAGAGTCTCAATAATACATATTGGCAAGATGCTATGCAATCAGAATTGGATTCCATGAATAAAAACAATGTGTGAGAGTTGGTTGAGGTACCACAAGGATGCAAACTAACAGGCTACAAGTGGATTTACAAGACTAAGAGAGACTTCAAGGGAGATATCAAAAGATATAAGGCTAGACTTGTAGTTAAGGGATATACTTAGCAAGAATGAGTTGATTATCTTGTGTGACTTCTCTCTAGTCTCTACAAAAGACTCTTTTAGAGTGATCATGGCACTAGAGGCTCACTTCGATCTACTCCTGCATCAAATGGACGTTAAGACTGCATTCTTAAATGGAAACCTTGAGGAAAAGATCTACATGAAGCAACTAGAGGGTTTCATAGAAGAAGGGAGAGAGAATTTGGTCTGTAAACTTAACAAGTCCATTTATGGATTGAAACAAGCCTCGAGACAGTGGTATTTAAAGTTTGATGAGGTTGTTTCATCACATGGTTTCGAAGAGAGCCCTAATGATAAGTGTGTTTACATAAAAAGGAATGGCAACTGTTTTATTTTTATCATTCTTTACGTAGATGACATATTACTAGCTTGCAATAATGCATCATTGCTAAGTGACACCAATACATTTCTGTCTAAATGTTTTGAGATGAAGGATATAGGAGAGGCAACTTTTGTTCTTGGTATTCAAATCACAAGAGATCGAAGTCGATGACTGCTTGGTTTATCACAGAGAGCATATATTGAAAAGGTACTTAAAATGTTTAATACGGAAGACTCGAATGGCAGCAATGTTCCCATGATAAAGGGAGAAAAGCTCAGTAAGGATCAGTGTCCTAAGACAAATTTTGAAAAGAAAGAAATGGCTAGCAAGCCTTATGCTTCTCTTGTTGGAAGTTTCATGTATGCACAGGTATGTACCAGACTTGATATTGCACATTCTATTAGCATATTGGGAAGGTTTTAGTCTAATCATGGCAATGCACACCAGTTAGCTGCCAAGAAAGTTTTGAGGTACTTGTAGAGAACAAAAGAGTACCAGCTAGTGTACAAAAGGGATTCAAAACTCGAACTAGTAGGCTATAGTGACTCAGACTTTGCAGGCTGCCTCGATTCATTTAAGTCAACATCAGGTTATATATTCATGTTGGCAAATGGGGCAGTGTCATGGAAGAGTGTGAAACAAGATACTGTTACCACTTCCACCATGCAACCTGAGTTTGTGGCTTGTTATGAAGCTACATTACAGGCTATATGGCTAAGAAATTTCATCAGCAATCTCGAGATCATGAATTCAATTGCAAAGCCTGTTTAAATTTGGTGTGATAATAAAGCTACTGTCTTTTATTCTAAGAATAATAAAAGTTCCCCTGGAACTAAGCACTTGAACACCAAATATGCATTGACAATGAAGAAAGTGAAGTCTTGAGAGATCAAGGTTGATTACATTGACACTCATGCAATGTTTGCTAATCCACTCACTAAGGCATTACCAAATGCAGTTTTTCACAAACATGTAATCAATATGGGAGTGACTGCAACCCTAAATTTGTTGAACTAGTGGGAGTAGTGATAGTATGTAGTTAAATCATGCATATTAGTTTTTATCGTGACAGTGAGTAGTAAGTTTGGTTTTGTGTTTAGCTAGTTGCTGCACTTTGTTGAATTGAATGTTTAATAAAAAGGATGATGCTTCAGTAATTCATACATTGTTTCAAAATAGTTCTAGTTCTTATTTTTTGTTGGAAATAAAGGTTGTTTAAAGATCATAAGCAATTAATATGTACTACAGTGAGACAATGTAGCAACAAAAGGTTATTAGCTGCAATTAGTAGTGCCAAGAGATTGATTGGCATATGTACTGAGTTTTTCACAAAAATATATATGAGCTATTCTTATAGCTAGAAAGCTTCATAGGAAGGATTAAGCAGTCATAAATTAAGGCTTATTAAGTGGACCTGGAAGTGATGGAGTTGATATTTTCGACTCATGGTTTTGTGGCTCACTTTTGTACCAAGTTTGTGATTGATTACTTTATGTAAGTGAGGGTCTTATTCAGTGATTATAAGAGCACATGAACACTTATGTAAGTTCATAATCTCCGATAGTTTTGAATAAGTAATCTTTACTTGACTGAAGTATGCAAGAAACTTATTAGCTTAACTAAATCCATTGGCCAATAAAGAATCATACTTGCAGATTCATTAAAGTTCTTTCTTGAATTAACTAATTGACTTGGTGGGAGAATGTTGGATGTTAGACTCTAATCCAATTGCTAATAGTCAATATAGTTAATAAGGATTGATGTGGAATGTAAGTATGATCAGGGTTTAGTTATAAGCTATAATTTGGACTCCAATTAAAGGAATATAACTCGGTTATAATTGGAGAATAAGGGCTCTTGATACTATCCTATTTGGATTGAGATTTGGTAAATTGTATCCTTGTACAATAAGGAATCCTAGCGTATGGATATGGGAATGTATGCTAGGGTTGTAGTAATATAAATACCAAGGGAAGGTCCCTGCATACACCACCAATACACATACTTGGAGAACTCCCCATAGGTTTGAGTAATACAGTGGTGGTGAGTGTGCAGAAGACCAACCTCGAAGTTCAAAGTGTTCGAGATTACTTGTTGTTACTGCAATGCTTGCTGTGATAGGAAGATGTCTTCATAAGGTTAGTTTAATGATGTTTTATTATACATGAATGTATTAGGTTTAACAACATAGAAATTCCGATTAGCTTTAAAACTTAACCACTGCACACCAAATTCATAACCTAAGCTAATTTGAGGGTGTAGAGTATGAAAATCACCTTCATGAGATCAAAAAAAGGTCGGAAAGTCCTGAAACCGATAAGAGAAAACTCATATCTTTGTTGAAAAACCCACCACTACCAGGGTTTATGGAACTCCTCATTCTAGGGGTAGATTCGAGCATGCAAAACTCAAATGTTGTTGTTGGGACTTTCCTGAGTCGAATAGATGTTGTTGCAAGGCCGGCCGCCACCAGAAAACTTATGAAAGTTGTTGGGAATGTCGAATCCAAACTGGGTTCGAGGATTAAGATTGATGGAAGGTATGGTTGTGTTGATTTGGGGAAGGAGATGAAATTGATGATTTTTGGGTTTCTCATTCAAACGGTGAGTTGCAACCGGGCAGCGAGAGGGAAGAAGGAAGAGAGAAGAAGAAAAAGAACTTATGAACAGTGAATCAATTAGTTTTGAGTTTTAGTATATATTAAATTTGTTCTTACACTATCTTAGTTATTAGAGTGTTAATTTAAGACTTTAGGTTTAGATAATTACGTCTACGTCTAAACCATTCACTAGGTTGATTCTTGCCTAAGTGTCTAGATTCAAAGTTTGTTCTACAAATTGATCTTCGTGTGTTTGTTAGTTTCAAAAATCAGACAGAGCTTGACTTATGTCAACACGTGATTTGCCCCTTGTTTTTTTTTTTTTTCTCTCTCTCTCTTTTCAATCTCAATGCCATGGAGAGGCTTGAGGAAACTTATGAAAATAGGCAATGACATTATCGGATGCTGACAATGTACAGTGTCTATATAATGATTTGTTGATTTGCACCGATTTTAACCTCTTAACCGATCAATTAAGTAGTGAATGAGACACTAGTTTAGTTAAGTTCTTTTTTACTCCTCTAGAATTAGGATTTTGGATTTTCACTGTTTTGTGCTTGCATAAAAAAGTAAATAAAGAGCATGAAATAAAGAAAACTAGTATTTAATCATTCCATAAACTGAAACATATATAACTATGATTCTTGAAAAGAAATGTGTGGGCTACATGACTAAGATAACTGAAATAAAACACGCTAGAAATGTAGAGAAACAGTAAATTAGCAAAAGATTCAATCACTGTAAGGCAGAATAATGCTGGCAAAAAAAAAAAAAAAAAAAAAACCATGTGATATGATATGACACTGAGTCAAGTAAGAGACATTGAGTCTTAAAGAGGTGAGTGGTCAGTTGGAATAAGAGACATTGAGTCATAAAGAGGTGAATGGTCAGTTGGAATTATCATCAACCTGAATTATACTACAGGATAGTAGAGCTATAAACATTTAAAATCTAATGGATCGTAAGGGACGAAGCTTTGAGGAAAGTTATTATTTAAGCGGAAGAGCTTTAGTTTGTGTTAGGAGCATTTGGTTTGTGTTGAAGAATCACTTAAAGTTTGATAATTATAGAGATTGAATTTGACCAAAGTCATGCGCCTAGAGGCCTCTGCTGCTATTTATAGGGCCTAGTGGAGAGTCTCCTCTATCTTATCGCTAAGTTAAGGGTAGATCGGTCATTTGCCTTTTTCATTAATTGCATTTCATGTGAGGTAGCTCATGTCACATTCCGGCCTAGAGCGGATTACTTCCCGGGCCCGCTCTACCACCGTAGCACGATATTGTCCACTTTGGGCTCCAACTACGCCCTCATGGTTTTGTTCTAGGAACTCACACGAGAACTTCCCGATAGGTCACCCATCCTGGGAGTGTTCTCGCCCCCTTCTCGCTTAACTTCGGAGTTCCTACGGAACCTGAAGCCAGTGAGCTCCCAAAATGCCTCGTGCTAGGTAGAGATGGGAATATACATATAAGGATCACTCCCCTGGGCGATGTGGGATGTCACAATCCACCCCCCTTAGGGGCCCGACGTCCTCGTCGGCACACCACGGCCAAGGTTAGGCTTTAATACCAAATTGTCACATCCCGGCCTGGGGCGGATCACTTCCCGAGCTCGCTCCACCACCGTAGCACGATATTGTCCGCTTTGGGCTCCGACTACGCCCTCACGGTTTTGTTTCTAGGAACTCACACGAGAACTTCCCGATAGGTCACCCATCCTGGGAGTGCTCTCGCCTCCTTCTCGCTTAACTTCGGAGTTCCTACAAAACCCGAAGCCAGTGAGCTCCCAAAAGGCCTCGTCCTAGATAGAGATGAGAATATACATATAAGGATCACTCCCCTGGGCGATGTGGGATGTCACAGCTCACCTATGCATTAATTCTTCGGCACTTATGTTGTCATTCTTCTTAACAGACGACACGTTCTTGGTGCAATTACTATGGTGTGAGATTCTCGAAGCTTGGTTGCTTACAGTAGACTTCTTGGTCTCGAGGAGATGACCTTGGGCTCGAAAATGATCTTAGGCCATCTCCAATGGAGATGGCTAAAAGACTATAGACCATTCTTTAGCCCGATTTGTTAAAAAGTCCAACTTTAATGGAGGGTTAGGCCAAAAACAAGTGGAACCCATCAAGCCTAATGATAACCTTTTGACTATTGGGTTGGCTACTTCTAGCCCCCCTCCCCCCATCAGCCCGTTTGTTGGGGCCCAACTTGCCACCTCTAGCTCGCTGACATTAGCAACAACAGTTTGCTGACGTCAACTAGTTGCTGAATATATATTTTTTTTTGATACACATCCCTCTCTTAATGTCTAAGTTGTTAACATGCAAATAATATTAAAATATTTAATAAAATATGTAACAATACCAACATGAGACGTAAACAATATGTAACAATACCAATAAGTTAAAGAACAAACTTAACAATAATAAATTATTGAGGGGCTATGTTTAGCCCATTTTGATTGGAGATAATATATAAATGTAGTTTGGTACTATTCATTTAAAAATAATTTTTTGCAGGATTATAGTTCTGGATGGAACTATACTTAACATTTTTGGTTGGAGATAGCTTCAATGCCTGAGGATGGAACCTCGGGGAGACGTCATGCCATTGACGACCTTGATCGGACGCCTTTGACAAAATAAAAATTATTGAGCCCTGTAGCATGCCTAATTTTTATTTGTAGCCCATATAGCGTAATTGGTTGGTTGCATCAAAACGTGTGAGTGTAGCTGACTCCAGTATCACATCTAATATGCGTAATCTCAACCTTATTACACGTCGAAAAAATTAAAGTCTTGCCCAGGACAAGGTAGTAAGGTATCGATTAAAAAGTAAGATTGTAATACACAAGTGTGATGATGGTGGAGATGGAGTTTCTCGACATGGGGCTCGGCCCATTTCTTCTTTTCAATTGGATTTTTACTGTGATTTTAATTTCTAGTTCTTTTGCAAGATTTTTTTCCATTTGGTTGGAAGAAGCAATGCTTCACCTTAAGTTTAAGCCTCAAATTTTTGTAAAACAATAATCATCGTCATTGGCTGCTGCTGCTGCTTCTCCTCCTCCTTTTCATGGTAAATTTTTAGTGATTTTTTATTCCAAGGACCTAAGTTTAAATGATATTGGTCCCTTCACCCATTGTCAATTGGTCTTAGATTTCTAATCC